CATCACTTCTTGGTGGTTCAGTGACTAATTGGTGAAGAAATCTATTGTTGTTACATCCAGGAATAACTCAGCCTTACAATTATCTGTAGCATTTATTCTCCAATTATATCTGGTAAATTAATGTCTTCCATAATGACTATTTTCAATATTCTTTCTAATATTATTAGAGAGATCTCTATCCATATCCAAAACCTAATCTGGAGGCCTACAGCAAACACCTAACACTCTCCAACAGAACCTCTTTTATAATTCTTACCCAAAGTGATTTTGACCAAGACTGTTTTAGCCAATCACTTCTTATTTCTTTACAGTTTACCACGATGTACAAATGTTAACCCATCATTTTAACCTTTATTTCTTTATCTCTTCGAAAGCTCACACCCTTCAATATCTGTATTCCAGCCATAACAGCAACATGGTGGATAGCAGTGATCCTTATAATACCCAGTTTCACATCCCGCATCAGTAGTTCTAAAGTTACTCACATTATAACTTTTAGCACTTTATCTGGCTCGTTCAATAGATTTCTTGACATACATGAGCATCAATTTAAAAATTAACATTTTTAGATGTTTGCATATCTATTCCCCCACAAAACACTATTAACTTTAGTTAAGGCTGATAGATTCTATATCCCACCACTGCAGTTTGTAAAAAACAAGGAAATAACCAGTGAAGTCATCAACAAACCATCTTTGCTTTCCTTCCACCTCCCAGAATCCTCCCCTTCCTGACGATTTCAATTATTTCTACATGAAGATTATCAAATTTATAAGTCACTATTATAGATCACTCATTCATATAATTTTTCCTGAACACTGCAGAAAGACATTTTACATCTAACATGCCTTACACACACACACACAGGCCAGTACAAAACCACATACAGAACTACATATAATGAAATTTATGAAAGACAGGTGGTCCCTAAATCAATTAATCAACATAAGCATGGTGAGAGTCCATGGCTGAATGTTGGTGTATTTTACTGTGCGCGCTCTCTCTAAGAATGTACTTTTACTTACGGCTTAAAAGAAGTATTCCTAAGTGAAACATGCATAAAAAAAATAAATACTGAGTATAAATAAATAAGAACATTCAAAAGAGTATTGACTGAAGCCTCTTGTATTACAGATAATTTTATATTTAATTTCCATTGCAGAATTACAGTCTTACCATCTCAAGAACGACAAAAACTGGACATTTTTAAAAGAAGTTTGTAATTTGTATTACAGTAAATATACAGAGAAAGAATTTAACATCAAGCTTCACTTCTTGTACTTCAGTGGAAATCAAACCTGAAGCTCCAGGTGGCTATCTAATGGTTACAAATAGGAAAGTTTGCATATTTAGAAGTTTAGTTGGTCTAGTTTGTAACGAGATGTTAAGAAATTGTAACTGGAATTTTCTCTATTAGATTGCAAGCTATCCAAAGCAAGACTATTTTCCTGTGTGTGGATAACACCCATCACTTTGCGGGTGCTGCCAGACCACAAATACAAGTCTTCTTTAGATAGACAACATGAAGATTAAAGACCCGGATCCAAATCCTAATGCAGTTAATAGGGAGTTTTTCCACTGACTTCAACTGAAGTTGAATTGGCTCTAAGGAGTCAATACAGAGTTATTAATACCCACATATTGAATATATCACTATCTAGAAGAAAGGGATACTAAAAGGCACATATCACCATGGTATCTAAGCATACCTGCTAGAGAAGAAAGATCCTGAAGAAATTAGTGGCAAAGAACATTAGAGATATATCTACGGACACCTTAACAGTCATTTGTATACTTGACAAATTTACAATGATCAAAAGCTATGCATACTAAAGAGTAGAATTTCAGAAAGAAAAACATTTCATATTTTGAGAATCAGAGTAGTAATGTGAGCTGTAGCAGCGATGTCCATACAGGAATAAACATGTCTATCGGTTAAAGATGAGACTGGATATTAGGATTCTGTTTTTGTTTACAACTCTGCTTCAAAATTTAGGCCTGGTCTACACACAGAAGTAGCGCCAACATAGCTACATCACACCACACAACATAAAATTGATTTTTACTGAACAAAACCTTAAATATTTTGAATATATAAATTTCTATTATCAAAAGATGTTTCATGTTTACAGCTAAAATATTTATTAAACAGAGGGATTAACTGTCGTTAATGAATTAAACTGATTATTTCAGGTAAGCCTGGGAAAAATTTTAAATATGCCTAAGTGAAAGTTACTAGAGCTTAAGTTTCTATTGCCTAAGTTTCTTGACAATGAGACAGTCTCCTAAGTTATTTTGGGTGAGCTATTGTGCCCTATTTATGAAGCTTGGCCTCAGAAGTTAAAATAAGGAGGAAAAACATCTTTCTTTATACAGAAAAGCAGCCTTTAACTCAAAGTTTCTGATAAAGGCTTATGGATTTAACACATTTTTATTCAAATGTTTTAAGAGATAATAAATTTAGGCCTTTACGTATTTTGCATTAAATTCAGATTTCATTTTAAAAAAGAAAAATTATAATTTAACAATTGAAAAATCCAATTTAAATTAAAAAATATTTTTTTAAATCATTGATATTTATCCACCTTGATTTCAGGTGCGCAGCACGATACACCTTAAAGAGGTCTGATTTTTAGAAAGTGCGGCAGATCCACCCTCTGAAAAACCAGACCCCTATAAGGTGTCTGAAGTTGCATACACTACAATTGAGGCACTAAAAAATTACTAGTTACTTTTTAAAACCTTGATTGATGTTGCCATTGCAGGAGTAACCAAGATGTAATAGCATCATCACTGGAAATTCATCTATCAAATATTAGAACTGTACATAAATTAACTATTAAGGATTGCTGTTATCACACTGAAACCATTTTCATTTCTAAACGTAAAAAGACTGTCATGTCCAAGTCTCTATGTAATGCTTCTCAAGAAGCAGGCCAATAAGAACGGTGTTCCAGGAAGATATTATTTTACTATATTGAAAAAAAGATTTTCCAATCGGATCAGCTACCTGCGAGATACATCTGATCATCAGAGTTCAGGACAAATTCACACCAAAGACGCTACAGTGTGTAGCCAAGACCAAACATTAGACTGACCTACCTACATTGCTCAGGACTGTGAAAAATGTCAAGCCCTGTACGATGTAGTAAGGTAGACCTAACCACCAGCGTAGACGCTGCTAGGTCCACAGAAGAATTCTTCCATCAAACTAGCTACGATCAACAGACTATGGTCAACAGCAGCAGAGCTGCAGCACTGTAGCTGTGCCATTGTAGTACAGACATACCATAATCAAGACCACTAAGAACACGCAGTTGCAATGCATTCATGAAGATCTTTGACTACAACTCAGACTCTTATCATTCCAGAAGTGCTTTCTTTACAAGGCTCTAAACAAAAGATTGCCTAGGACAAAGTTACATAACAAGGCAATAAACACGGAAGCATGCTTTTATTTAAGAGTTCAAATTAAAAGATAAATGCACTCAAAACATGTTGGTTTTAACAGCAAGATCCTCAAGATTTTGATTAAATATCTTCAGTGGCCCACAACAAACTTGATTTTTAAACTACAGATTCTTTTATTTCTTGTGCATTTAGAAGAACTTATGGGTTTACCTATAAATCTTTGCTTAATTCTATGCCTCTGCAACAACTTGAAAAATTCATATAAACATGCACAAAACATTGTCAGTGGGACTGGTTCAGCAATCAGAAAATACATTTAGAGACAAACTGCTCATCACTTGGACAGTATTTTTAAACAGAACATTATAGAAGTCCCCCATTTCAAGGGCACCATTAGATATGAAACCCAACATTTGCTTCTATCATAGAATTCAAAACTACTTTAACTCACACTTTGAAACAAACATTTTAATGTCCCGTTTTAAAATTAAATTGGATTTTACAATTCCTCACATCCCTTACATTTTTTGTTTTTATAATCAGACTTTCCTATTTTGTTTGAGTGAAAACCCACACAAACAGGGAAACTAACTAGACAAAAAATACAATACCCCAAATAAAACTGAACAGTGCCATCCCTCACGCCAATCTCTTTCAGTTACAGTAATTTTAATAATTTTGTAAAAAAAAATAAAAAAAATCCGTATACCCAAGACAGTGAGGACACTTTGTAAGAGATTGTTTTGGGTAGATCTTTTACGTAGGGTCAGCTTTCTAATAAAATCAGCAAGATATATCTTATCACGCTTTTTAAAGTAAGCTCTCTGGGACAGGGACGTCTTCCTTATTGCTTGTGTATACACTGCCTACCCAATTCCTCGATTAGAGTTCCTAAACATTACCGTAACATTCATCTGTTTATTTTATTGAATATTTAATCAATAGTCTGACCAATACCTATTACCTATTGTGGAACGCTGAGTGTGTTGGTTTCCAAGCCACTTTAACTTAAGCCTGCAAAGCCCCATAAATCACTACAGGGCAATCTCTTTACAGGAACATCATTTCCAAACACTGGCTTGCCAATAGATGGTTAAGAAGAGTAGGATTAAGTGCAGTCCATTATTAAAATAAATATATTCAAAAAGTAAAAAAACAACACTTAACAGGAGTCCTTATTAATACAACTTTAAGGCCCAAACTTGCAACATTTGCACAAGCGAGTAAGCCCCATGTAGGATCATGTGGACAAAAGCTGCAGGATCGGGGATCCCTAGTTCGGACAGGAGGGGGACGGATACACAAACTGCAAGGCCACCACCCCATAAACACACCCACACACTCCCGACAGCACGGACCCGGCCAGGGAGCGGGTCACGCCGCGGGGACCCTGCCAGGCAAAGTTCACGCGCAAGGGGGAGGTGGGAAAGCGAAGTCCGCACCGCGCCTGCCTGTTTCCCTCCCCCGGGAAGCCAGAGGCGCAGCAGGAGCTGCGGCCAGAGCGCCCCAAGGAACTCGCCGCACCCCGCCCCGGCCTCCCTCACCCGGGGAGTCGATCACACTGGGGGGAGGGGAAGGGGCGGACTCACCTTCCTACTCCTGCCGCTGCTCCCGCCGCTCCCTCCTCCCTCGGCACTGACGCGTCCAGCAGCTCTAAGCCCCTCACGCGCGGCCCGGAGACACCGGAGACAGCCCCGGCTCGCTCACCCCAGGGAGCTGCGCAGCCGCCACCGCCACAGACCAGGAGACAAACACCTCACACCGCTGCGCCCGCTCCGCCTCCCAGCGGTGGCCCCGCCCCAACGGCCGCACGCACGCACGCGCTCCACCCGCCTTCCACAGCCGCACGTCCTCATTGGGTGGAGGGCGGCAGTTTGCGGTGCGCACGCCCCGCTCGCTGCCTGTGCCGGGCTGCCCGCCGGTGGAGCGGCTGAGGGACGCGTGCTCGCTGCGCAGGGGGAATGGGGGAGAAGTGGGGGAATGACGAGGACGAAGGGACACGGGGAATGAGGCTCCCTTGCTGTCCCCCGCCCACAGTTATGGCCCCTCTGGACCGTCTCTTCCCTACCCTGCTCATCTCTCATGACCAGCCAAGGCTCCCACACACCGGGACGGCAGCTCCCTCAAAACGCCCTTGTCTTGGCTAAGCGCCGCTCCCGCCCTCCTCTCGTAGCGTCTGAGCCCTTCTCTTCAACCACCAGCTTCTTCAGGCTGGACTGGCCACCGGTTAGATCCTCCTCTGCGCTGCCCCTCACTCCAGTTTCATCTACCTCCCTTACGCCTCTGCTGCTCTCAGTCCCGCTCCTGCCTATATCCTGATCAGTGGCACTGGAGTCAGAGGGCCAGAGTAACCACAAGCTACTTTTTTCACAGCTGATTCTGAGAGACTGTTGCACAAGGCTGTTTTCGGGCTCAGAACTCTTGTTAGCATTTTTGACACAGACGCAGACCCCATCATGGTTGTAAAACAGTCCAGCCCAAGCACTGACTGGACAAAAAATCAAAGCACTAATACCAGTTAGGAGAGACCTTTGGCAGCCAGAAGGATGGGGATACTCCCAAGAGGAGATGGTCATCAGTCAAAGAAAGCAGGCATTAGATTATAGGGCAGCCTAGGACCTACCAGCTTTGCAGATAGGCACTACTTTGAAGATCCAGCTATTAGACCCCAGAAGAAAGGGACTAACAAAGTTGTGAGGGATGCAGTGGCACCCAGGTCATACAAGTCATTATGCAAGAAGAACAAGTGATTCATAAAAACAGGAGACACTTATGAGCCAGTAGACATAACACCCAGAACAGAAACAGAACCATCCAGAGGCCAACCTCATAGGGAGGAAGAAGATTCCATTAAAAGACAGTTTGCTACAGTCAGAGATAAGTGACAGGTAGACAGAGATAGGTCACTCTTGGTATGGTTACCTGTTGAGAACAGATTATCTCAAAGTCTGCATAACCAGTGAAGACAAGACTCCAACTTGACTATGTGCAGCAATTTCTGGCTAAAAGGACACAGGGTAAGTGTCTGGGCATCAATTATTTGTTTTTAATGTTTATATTAAAATATTTGCAAAATAGGAAAGATGTATCATGATCAATAGAACTGGAGTCAGAGGGCCCATGTTGTCTGGAGAGACTGTTCTTTGTAGACACAGTACCAGGACCAGGTAGCCACTGAGCCACACAGACAAAGCAGTCCACAGGGTTAAATCCATGTGTTCAGTTTAACATACATTCAGCTTCACTCTTTGCTAATGAAACACTCCTCTTTTCTCCTCCACTAACTATTGGAAAATTTCACTCCACTTTCAATGAAGGGATGAGTGTCTAAACAAGATGTGGGACTCCAGGGTCACATTATTTTATAGTCTTCATATTTTGAAGGGCAGGATAGTGATTAGGTACGAGGTGGTGGAATAGAGGGTGGCTAAGGACACAATGTCAGCAAGTGTTTCTTGGACCACCAAAAAATCAGCAAACAGCTGCCTCTTTAAATCTTTTTCCATCTGCTTCAGGTTCACCAAATGTTTCATGTAGTTTGTCATATAGGTGTCCAGCCACTTTTTATCCTCTTGCCTATACTTACCCTGTCTGCCCATATTTTCTTTGTATCTCTTTTTTCTGAAACCTATATACCCCATTGCTCTTTCAAATTCAAACAGATCCTCTTTGGTTTTTCTTTTCTTGGCATGTAAACTGCCCAGCTAATCCTCCATTACTGTGGACCATGCCAAGATGTGTGCTTGCCTTTCCACAGAAGCATTAAAAAGCTCTAGTTTCTAGCCTTTTTACATTGCAGATGTTGTGTGCCTTTTAAGGCTCCCCTCCCCTTTTGTATTCCATTTTTTGTGCAGCCATGTGTTATAGCTGTATGCCAAACCAAGCATTTCCACTCTGATTAGTAACAGAGGTCCATGTATCAAATGAATGAGATGGGAAAGACACTTGGGGAATAATGGAATCCAAATTCAGGCAGACTGCAGAACTATTATGCCTTCTGTAAAGGCATAGAGAGGGGGAGTGGCAGAGTGAGGGTGATCAGTTATGGCAGAATAGAAAGAGAGATGGATACTTCTGCTGGCCTTGTGTGACCTAGATCCACGATTTTATGAGCACTAATGGAAGTGATCGTAAGAATCCACAAATTACTTCCTCAAACCCTGATGCTTTCATGAAAGTGGCACAATGGCTAACTGGATGCTTTTAGCAATAAAATGCTGCTTACTGGATGCAGAAACTCCATCCTCCTTTGAGTTGTCCTCATCCAGCTTGATCACCAGCTCTGTATCCAAGATTTACACAGAGAAGTCCTATGAGCCCACAAGCTATCAGTTCAGGCTTCTGTTTTGTGTAGTTCTCCTAGATGGCAGAGACCTTCCTCTCCTTCATGGGCAATCTTGGTGCCTGGGTTTGCTTGCTGTCCAAGAGCAGGTTCAGCTGAGTGGAGGGACACTTCTTCAGGATCTTGTACAACTTTTCATTGAGAAGACAAATGTAGACACCAGCCTTCAACTTTGTTTCTGTCTGTTGCCTTCTTATAATTATATTTGAGGGTTTTGATCCTCTGCCAGTACGAGTTGGCAGACCAGGTTAATGCTGAGATCTTTAAGTCTCCAGAATGTCTGGTTGAAGACCTGTTTATTTCTTTGGTAACCATCCAGCTCCTTCTGGATCTCAGCCTTGCTCCATAACGCTAAGAAAGCATTAATGTTGGCCTTTAGCCAGCTAGCAGCACATTCATAAGATGCTTGGCTGAGACATACTTTTTAGTTAAATTATCCAAAAGATGAAAAAGTTTTATCAGCAGAAGAAGGTGTCCCCTACATAAATGTCTCAAAGCAGAGCATAGTGTTAGCAACATTATTTGTATAGGTAGGTGGGTCATAGGCAAGTCAGCCCCTAGATAGTATAGTGCAAAAAGATGACCAGAGAGGCTACTTCTGCAATGAGCTACTTCTGCAGGATATATCTAAGCAGCAGTGAGAAGACTATTTGCACTTACTGTATTAGCATGGTAGGAAACTTGACCACACTGGCATTAAAATAACTGAGGCAGGAATGACTGGGACTCAGTTGTGCTTTAGTTCCTACAAAAAAAAGTAGTCTGGAACATTTAACTCCATTAGTAATTGATCAAAGTTCTTTTGTGTAAGAATTCAAGATTTATATCAGTCTATATAGGAAGAAAAAATGTACCTTATCTATTGTAAATGTGTCCATAGACATCCAGGAGGCAATGCAGCTACAATATTTGAATCAAGTGCTGCCTGTGGACACAGGACAGAATTGCACCTGAAACAGGATGGCTGGTGATGGCATTGCACCAGTGGAGTGTGTGCCAATGCAATTATACGAGTTTAATTAGCATTGGTATAATTCTTTTGTGTCAACAAGGCCCTTGGAATCTGTTGGAAAAGAATTGACTGCCTAGCATTTCATAGACATATATTGTGATACATATATGCTTTAGCATGATCCCATCAACTCCTGTTACAATATGTAGTCATAGGACATTTCCCTTCTGATCTATAAGGGACAAATACAAGGATGTAAAATCCTTCATTGTCTTACAAACACTACATTGTAGCTATTAGTTTTAAAATATCTTCCTATTTGAAATTAGAGAAATTAATCAAAGGTACGGTATATATTTTTTCTTCCTGGTACCACAATACATATTGTCTAGTGATTAGAATACATTCTCCAGAATAAATTGTTAAAAATTTCCAGTTATATTTTCTTTTGTTCCCTTCAAACTGGTAAACATATTAACCCTCTTTGTAGCACTTTTTCGAGCCCTTATTTTGATTATTGCAGCCTTTTGCTGCCCTTGCTTACTGAAGCCAGACTGTGCAGGTCAATTCAAATTGCTACTGTTACAATAATCTTCCCAGCCTGCGGTTCTGACCAGATTACCCCTCTGTTTGGTTCCCTTCATTGGCTCTCCCTTTTCCACATCAAATACAATCTTCTCATCCTTATGGTTGCGGCCCTATCTGCTTTATTATTGTCACTTGTCACCTCCAACACTCTGCCAGCAATACCAGACTTTACCATCCATTTATCTGCTTCTGCTTCGAGCACCTATGTGCATCCTTCCATGCTGCCGCTTATATATACAAAATGCCCTCCCTGAAAAATCCATTACCTTAGTCATTACCTTACCTTTCTCCTTCACATCCTTTCTTAAAACAGATTTCTATTCTGGTGCCTACTAAACACTGCCAGCTGCTAATGACTAAGGAAGTGTCAAGCTGAGATTTCTGCTACTGATCTGCTTATTTGTCTCCATGAACAAAACAAAATATATACCTACAAATTGTGCATACAGCTAACCTATGCAAAAACATATATTCTTTTTACTGTTACCCCATCCTCATTTTCTGTGCCTCTATTTTTTGTTTGTTTGTTTGTTTCAGCCACCCATTTGTTAACACCAATCTTAAACTAAGGCAGGAACACCAACCTTAAACTAAGGAATACACTAAGACTCCTTTAAACCTTTCTGGCAGTGTAAAGTGGCCTAAAAGTTGATGTAAATTACACATTTACACATTTTAAGTATTCTTTACACTGTCAGACCAGTGTAAGAATCAAGCTCTCAGATTGTAAAGTCATTGGGGCAGGGGCTGGTTGTCTTTTATTAAATGTCTGTACAAAGCCTAACGCAAGGGGGTGTCAACCAGAATAGGGTCTCTAAGCCAGTGGTGGGCAACCTGCAGCCCACGGGCCACATGCGGCCCATCAGGGTAATCTGATTGCGGGCCGCGAGATATTTTCCTGACATTGACCGT